GAAAGGTGTAACGATGTTGCGATGCGGTTACAGGTATTGGGCAAGCCTCCGGAACCTTGTGATCTCGTTGCTGAGCTCCATGAGATCCATCATCTCCCTCCTCTTCCTTCTCTTCTTGTTCATCCTCCTCTTCCCGTTGCAAACGTGACGGGGAGTTCCGCGGAGATGAAATGGGTTTAATCGAGTGAAGCGAGACTCATTTCTTAGAGGGTGTTCATTCCGACTTCGTGCATGGAGTTCGAAGAAGCGGAGCTGGATATGCCTTGGGCCGTGGGTGAAGGGGTAGATCCTCTGGATCGATGACATCCTGGCCTACTTTCACTGCCAGCCCGGTCTTTTCTGTTATAGACCCGATGCTTAATAGCTGTGCCTGATCTCTGGTGGAGAAAACGGGATACATTACTGGGGGGGGGTACTGTCTGGGGAAATGGCATCAGGAGAGCTTTTTTTTCGATCTCCAGTTCTCATTTTATGGAACAATCGCGTTCGAGAACGATTCTGTCGAGTGGGAAGCCACGAGGGGGGTTCGTGAGGTAAAGACCATTAAAAATGCATCCTCGACTCTCTCTCTCTCTCTCTCTGATGATTCCAAATGCTTTTGGTTCCATCGATCGGGGTCGAGGGAGAAGAGTCGATGCAACTCTTTCATCATGACCTTCGCTGTCTTAACCCGTTCAATCTTTCAATTCCCATGCGGGCACGCGACCTTTCTTCTCTGTCTCGCATTCATTCATCAATCGTCATTCGCGGGTCTTTCGGGTGCCGTCACGCAGGCGGTGGCGGGGATGTGTCGAGAGGCGAAACCAAAGTTCGTAATGGAGTCTTCTGGCAATCCTTCACTTTCCATCGCACTTCGGAGAGGATCTTTCTCTTGATGTGAACTCGAAAAAAAAAAAACAATAGGAGTGAATTCAGTCACGATGATTTGGGGAATGGGTGTCGAGAACAGTGGAAATTCGCTAATGAAAATTTTTTTTCATCCCGTGGAAAATTAAGGTTTACAAGTGGTTCTCAAGTCCATCATCAAGGCCATGGCCCCTCTGCTTCAAATCGGTCTCCTGGTGCTATTCGCTGTGGTCATCTTCGCCATCATCGGCCTCGAGTTCTATTGCGGGATCCTTCACAAGACCTGCTACAACCTGGGAGACCTCGGTGAGCGCACGCACGACCGCCTTCCCTCGTGGCACCGACCGCCTTCATCAACCGGGGATCCCCCTACTTTTTCGCACCCAGATGAGATCGTGCCCGAGGGACAGCACGCAACTCCGTGCAACACGGACAACGAGACCGAGGCTCCGACGGGGAGCTACGTTTGCAACGGGACCAAGTCCGTGTGCGACGAGAAGTGGGAGGGACCCAATCAGGGGATCACGTCCTTCGACAACGTTGGGTTCGCCATGCTGACTGTGTTCCAATGCATCACCATGGAAGGATGGACTTCCATTCTTTACTGGGTGAGAGCGTGTGCCCGTGTGACGTCACTGGGTCGACCTTGAGTGAAGTGCTTCGAAGCCGGGCGGCCGATGAGCGCGTCGAGGCAGGATCAAAGCGACGCTTTGATGTAAACACGGAAAAGATCAATTTCAGAGAGATTTTCCGATTTTCCACTCCGGTGGGCAAAAGCGGGGGTATGAATATCGTCGTTCGCTCGAGTCGATGCTTTCATTCAGCGCCTCAGTGTTGTGGGCCAACGATGAATTGATGAATGATAATATTTATACCGGCGGAAACTTTTAGGACGTCTCTCGACTCCATCGGTTATTTATTGTTGCAGACCAATGACTCTCTGGGGAGTTACTACAACTGGATCTACTTCGTGCCATTGATCGTTCTGGGTTCTTTCTTCATGCTCAACTTAGTCCTAGGAGTTCTCAGCGGGTGAGTCTCATCCATCTTTTCCGTTCCCCTTTCTCTCTCTCTGTCTCTTTTGTGCGGTAGCGTCCGTTTTGGCCCTCGTCGTGAACCCAGCTTGACAGGCGGGCTCTTCTCCGGGTCCGACTTTGTTTTAAACCGACTTCTTCAGAGAATTCTCCAACGAGAGGGTGCGGGTGGCCCGAAAGGCGACGTATCTGCGGCGGAAGAAACTGAAGACCGTGAACGAGGCGCTCCGCGGATACATTGATTGGCTGTGTTTTGCAGGTAATGCTCATGGGGACCTCGTTTCCTTTTTCTTTCCAGAGAGTTTGCCAAAGAAAGAGAACGCGTAGAGAATAGGCAGGAATTTCTCAAACTTCGGAGGCATCAAAAGTTGGAGCGAGAGTTGAATGGCTATGTGGAATGGATCTGTAGGGCTGGTAAGACCGCACGATCGAGTTCTCAGCATGACTTCCTCTTTTTTTTTTCCCCGTCCTTGTCCTCTGCATGCCCCCAAAGTCGAGCGAGGCAAATCGACGCCAGGGATGCCAGATCCCCTTCCGTGCATGTCCCGCGCCTCCCGCATGCATGCATCCCTCGATCCATCAGCAACACTGACGTAATTCATCTCTCCCCGCAGAGGAAGTGATCCTGGCCGAGCAGCGGACGACGGACGAGGAGAGGATGCACATCATGGAAGGTCGGCCTCGCTCTCAAGCATCTTGATGACATTGCTTCTTGCCATTGCTTCTTGCCGTTGCTTTTTGCCATCGCTTTTTGCCATCGCTTTCCCCTCTGAACTCTCGTTTCTTGGGGATTCCAGCGAGGAGACGCGCAGCAGCCAAGCGGAAAAAGCTGAAGCAATTGGGAAAGAGCAAATCCACGGACACGGACGAGGACATGGAGGAAGATAACGAAGAGGATGGTAAGATCACCATTGCATCGCCATTGCCTATCGCATTATTGCCTTTCCTCTCGACGATGATTTCCTTTCCCTGCTCTCGATCGCATTCATCCCCAATGTCCCCTGATCTCCCTCTTTTTGACTTGCAGCCATATTTTTACCGACAAAGAAAAAGAATTTCGCCTTGAAAGGTACGGTCGTAGTCGAGTATTGTCCTCATAGCCGTCTGTAGACCAAGGATGCAGATGCCATAGTGCCTCGGGCCTCTCTCGCTCTGTATTGTTTTTTTTCTGGCTCGTCTCTACTGTACGGTACAGGCCTTTGATAGTGATTTAGCCTACATTTCTTGTGATCAGGTGTCTGGAGCTTAGTCTAATAGCTCGTTAGAAGTTGAGTTGAAGTAAATTACTTAGATCATGGTTTCATTGGCCTCTCCTAGATGAGAGTATTGTGAATTTGTGTGCACGTTGTTCGGTGCCTGGTTGTGAGATTCTGGTCTCGGCCTCGCCTGGGACCCACTAGAGACTTTTTTGCAAGCTTGTCATACGTTTAAGGAAGAATGTTCGAGGTGTAAGGCGCAAGGAAGATGGTTCGAAGGGTCTCCTCTCGAGGCAGACGACGCGAACGGAAGAAAAGACCAGACCTTTGGCACTGGATTGGCAACATTGGCGACAGAATTTGCAACGGGTTCTCTCAGTATCGCAGCCAGGCGTGGGAAAGGCTCATGCAAGGAACGTAATGAATCTGCCAGCAGCGTGTGGGCAGAACGATCAGCCGATGCGGAAATGTTTACTCAACTTAGAAAGCTCTTCAATTTTTTTTTTTTTTGGCCTGGAGTCTTTCTCCATAGCACTCGATATTTCCTTTAATCGACCCAGGGGAATCTTGACACTATACGAAGATAATGATAATCGCCCACCCTCACCGACAATAGTGGGCACAATGGTTCATTTGCTCCGAGGCCCTTGCATTCCTAGAATTAAGCTGCAGTGCCTAAGCTTTTTGGTCTTTTCTCTAATTTATGGCCGTGTTGACAGTGCGGGGCGTTTCGAGAAATGCACGGGATGCAAGAAAAAATATCTGAATTATTCTGAGACGTCAGACATTTTGCATGACTGAAAGGTGATGAATACCATTAAATATTGAGCGGATGCGTGAGATTAAGAAATTTCATTTATATATATATTTTTTAAATTTTACGCTCCAGAAACTCCACGCGTCCGGTTTCTAATTTTAGAAGTTTCACAGGAGCGTTCCCTTCCCGAGATTTATTATCTTCGAACCGGAGGATACAGATTGTTCATAACGAACGGGAAATGTGCGTTATGGACAATTTTCTTCGTGCGAAAAAGATTCATGGAGGAGTGGGTTAATTCGGAAATGTTAGCGGTTGACCTCATCGTGCGATTCGGTTTTGCAACATGTCCCTGCCTCGTTTCCCATCGACGGTCCCGCTGCTTTCTAGGTCTTTCAAGAGCTTCATATTTGAAGTCGAAAGTGAAGAACCAAGGGGCATGCAAAGACTTCTGGAGAGCCGAGAAGCGCTGCCGGTGAGTTCCCATCGGATTCCCCCCCAGCTGACGCCATCCACTCGGATAAGCTGGAGGTTGTTTGCTCTTTCCCTCCAGGTTCTTCATACGGAAGTGTGTGAAGACCACGTGGTTCTATTGGTTCGTCATCGTGCTTGTGTTTCTCAATACCGTCTGTGTTGCTGTTGAGCACTATAATCAGCCCCTTTGGCTGTCCAAGTTTTTGTGTGAGTTTAAAAAAAAATCATTTCATTCCTGTTTGCTCGATTGCGACTGATGTCTCACATGCTCTCGGTCCTCGTTTCTGTTGCAGATTACGCCGAGTTTGTGTTTCTAGGACTGTTCATCTCTGAAATGTTGATCAAGGTGTATGCCTTGGGACCACGGATTTACTTCGAGTCTGCCTTCAATCGCTTTGATTGTGTTGTCATAAGTGGGTCAATATTTGAAGTGATATGGAGTGAATTGAAAAGTGGGTCTTTCGGATTTTCTGTGCTTCGCGCCCTGCGTCTCCTCAGGATCTTCAAAGTCACCAAGTAAGTGCTTCCTCTCCGTCCCTTTCCCTCATGTTGCCCGGAGCTATAAAGGCTCAGGCGCTTAATGAGAGAGAATTGGGGTGTACAGAAAATTACGGAGGAGTACACCTTGCGAATTTCGCAGAACACACTCTGATAAGAGCCGAGCTCCATGATAATGAGATGTTGGAAATAGTAATCCTCCCGGAACTCTGAGCGCGGAATAAATCTCATTTCGCCCCTGCATCCCTTGTTTCTATTGATATTGAACGGGCTGTTTCGAGAGTGAGTCGAGAAAGGTGTAACGATGTTGCGATGCGGTTACAGGTATTGGGCAAGCCTCCGGAACCTTGTGATCTCGTTGCTGAGCTCCATGAGATCCATCATCTCCCTCCTCTTCCTTCTCTTCTTGTTCATCCTCATCTTCGCGTTGCTCGGGATGCAACTGTTCGGAGGAGCGTTCAACTTCCCGTCTGGCACTCCTCCCGCCAATTTCAACTCCTTCCCCATTGCTCTCCTCACTGTCTTCCAGGTCAGGTCTAGGTCCATGAGCACAATAGGGCTTCTCCCACCCCTTTACTTCGAAGGCCATTTGTCTCGTCCCCGAAGATCCTGACCGGAGAAGATTGGAACGAACTCATGTACCTGGGAATCGAATCGCAAGGAGGGATTCACGACAACGGCATGATCTACTCCTTGTACTTCATCGTCCTTGTCCTCTTCGGCAACTGTATCCTTTGCAAGAGTTTTGTTTAGCTTATTAATGTTTAACGCAAATGTGTCGAATGTTGAACTCCCCTGGAGGTTCCTTGACAGCGATGAACAGACACCCTGTTGAACGTATTCTTGGCCATCGCCGTGGACAACCTGGCGAACGCCCAGGAAATGACAGCAGCAGAAGAGGAGGCAGAAGAAGAAGGCAGAGAGAAAGCGGAAGCAGAGCTTCAAAAGGAGATCGATGCTCTCACGGCGTTGGATACGGCTTCCAGTCCAACTGGAGCTGGTTTTTCCATCGACGGCAGGATCGCATCCGCGTATGTCTATTGCCTATGCCAATATTCTGGACCGAAGTCACATGAATGACACTAGAGGGGAAAGAACCTCCACCCGTTTCAAAACTCCTACGTATCGCGTCATCCAGGTGCTCCCTCCACTCTAATGGTACGATTAGACTGTTGCCATGGAAATTTATTTTGGCATTTCCTCTCCTGTTTACGATCTGTGGGTGCATGGCTGGTCTAAATGCCCAGATCCATATATGCCAGTATGCCAGTGACATCTGGTGTCTCTTCAGAACATCATGATGAGGGTGGTCTTCGACCCGTTGTCAGGCTGAAGCTGTTGGGGAGGTGCTACAAATGAATGTTTCCCTGGAATCGTAGGATAGAGGCACTACTTTCCCCTCTAGTGCCAGTATTAAAAGCTCTTTGATCTCCTGCCCCACTAATTCCCCTTGGATACATGGGGATGAGGAATGAAGACCAGGTGTTTGTTCTCCAGGGGGAAGAAAACGACAGCCGAGCCTGATGCTCCAGAAGAGGAAGAGGAGACGACCGGGCCGAGACCCATGCTTCCCTATTCCTCCATGTTTATCTTCTCCTCCACCAACCCGTGGGTGTTGACTTCTCCACCCTGCTCGTTCGTTGTCGAGGCTTTGCCCGTCTGATTGACTCTTCTCGTCCAGGATCAGGAAGGCGGCGCATTGGGTCGTGAACCTGCGGTACTTCGACACCTTCATCATGATCGTGATCACGATGAGCAGCGCCTCGCTGGCTGCCGAGGACCCCGTCGAGGAGAAGTCTGATCGCAACCTGGTCCTCAACTATTTTGACTACGCTTTCACTGGTGTCTTCACCGTCGAAATGGTCCTAAAGGTACATACGCCTCTCCTGCGACACGTGAGGAGCAAATCGAGAAAAAAGAAAGAGAAAAAGAAGTAGCTGAGTTGAGAGTGAAAGGGTTTGGAATAAATAAAAAAAAGAAGTGATGAAATGTTTTAAAATCTCCGAGGTTGTGGACCAAGGAGTGATAGGCCACCCTGGATCTTACCTACGAGATTTCTGGAACATAATGGATGCAGTGGTGGTCGTGTGTGCACTCTTATCTTTCTCACTCGCCATGATGTGAGTCTGTAGTGGACAACGAGAAGACCATTCAGTCGATAATTTGTACCTGTACCTGTACTGTCCCAGTACGTATGAGTATCTCTTGCAGTAGACAGGTTGGTTGATGCCGTCGTGGTTGTCAGGGTGCTCAAAACACCTCAGAACATTTAGTCGATGTTTTTGCAGCATTTACTTATCATCTCTCCTGTTCCTCGGGCGGTTCTCTTCTTCTTCCTCCATCTCCTTCCTCCTCCTTCGACGAAACTCTGACTGTAGTTGATGTGGAGATTAGTTTGGGCTTTTCTTGTCTTGTCTGTTGTTTCCAGGTGGTAGATCTAGGAATAGTGCTTCATCACGGATCCTATTGTCGAGATCCCTGGAACATTCTTGACGCCATAGTAGTCATCTGTGCCCTTATCGCCTTTGCTTTCTCGTAAGTGTTGTTTGTGCTCTCTGCTCTACCGTATTCGCTCCTTGGAGCCATTGTCCAGTTACAGTACGGAGTCACTGCTTTCGCCGTTTTTATACACCTTGAATTTTTGACAGTATTTTCTATACGTACGGTAGTATTTGGGCTGTGCGTGTTCCCTGTGACCGTTCTGTAGGTCTCATTCGTATACTTTACGTGTATTTAAGATGCCTAGCATCGATTCCGTTAGTCATCCTAAGCCTAGTTTATTCGTTCGGGTGACGAATCATAGAAACAAAGCATGACTTACATTTGAAGCAGTCTTCAAAATCTGTATCCGAATTCGAACTCGTCCCGGTTCCTAAACGAGGCATGGACTTCGGAGTCTGGGATACGCCTAGATCAGAGGTCGGGAACCTTTTAGGCCATGTGAGCCATATTAGGATTGAGGTAGGTGCTTGTGAGCGAAAAAATGTCAAAACTGCAGAATTTTTCCTGAAGTGAGCGACAGACATGTGCATTCTTTCATGCATGAGAAAAATGAGGAACAACCATGATTTTTAGCCATGGCTCAATGAGCAAAACTTTTCGGCTCGTGAGCCCAATTTGGCTCATGAGCGATAGGTTCCCGACCCCTGGCCTAGATGAAGAAGATAGTCGCGCAGGGACTTGACCGCCTGAGTTGTGTGGGTCTAGGGGGAGCTCAACCGGTCAGAACCTGAGCACGATCAAGAGCCTTCGGGTGCTTCGAGTCCTGCGGCCGCTGAAGACGATCAAGCGCGTCCCCAAGTTGAAGGCCGTCTTCGACTGTGTCGTGAACTCGTTGAAAAACGTCTTCAACATTCTCATCGTTTACTTGCTCTTTCAATTCATCTTTGCTGTCATCGCCGTCCAGCTCTTCAATGGCAAGTTCTTCTACTGCAACGACGAGTCGAAGTTCTACGAAGACGAATGCCAGTGAGTACAATTTTCATTTTAAAGGATTTTTTTCGAAACCTCGATGCCTGAAATGTGAATTTTTGCGTTTCTGTCCGACAGAGGAGAGTACTTTGTGTTCCACGGAGACGAACGCCCCCCAGATGTCGAGCATCGGAATTGGCAAAAGCAGGATTTTCATTACGACAACGTGGCCGCCGCCATGCTGACACTCTTCGCCGTTCAGACGGGAGAGGGCTGGCCAGCGTGAGTGGTTTTTTTTTTTCTTGTCGACACGGACAAATCGGACTTAGAACTCGATGTATTTTTTTTTTATTCGACTCGTCGCAGAGTGTTGCAGAACTCCATGGCCGCGACGTATGAGGACTATGGACCCGTCCCTCATTACCGGATCGAGATGTCGATTTTCTATATCGTCTACTTCATCGTGTTTCCCTTCTTCTTCGTCAACATCTTCGTTGCCTTGATCATCATCACCTTCCAGGAGCAGGGAGAGGCGGAGTTGCAGGACGGTGAGATCGATAAGAACCAGGTAATTCGTCTCGTATTCTGCAGGGGTAAGTCTGGAATCATCGGGAAAATACCAGGGTTTTTTTTTCCTCTTCGCGTTGTTTCGGGTTCTGATCACGAAAATCGAATGAAATATCCGGAAACCGAGTGAAATGCATTTGAAAGCTTATGTGCGCTCCATCAAAATACGCGATATCGATCTCGAGGAGCGCATCACCAAAACTTGTGGGAAAAAAATCTCATCAGACATTCAAAACAACAATCAACAACAAAACAAGACAACAAAATAGTTGGAATAATGGGAAAATCGCCTCACAATGTGCATTGAAGGGAATGGCGGACACATCGAACGTATTTTCTAACTGAAAGTGTAAAGCTTAGGCTTCCCTATTATTCCTGGCTTTACCGGGTATTTCACCTCGTCCGAACGTCAAGCACCGAGTAAAAAAAAAAAATTTCGTCCTCGTCCAGAAATCCTGCATCGACTTCGCAATCCAAGCGAAACCGCTCGAGAGGTACATGCCGAAGGACCGGAACTCCATCAAGCACAGCATCTGGAGGATCGTCGTCTCCACGCCGTTCGAGTACTTCATCATGGCCCTGATCGTCATGAACACAGTCCTCCTCATGATTAAGGTATGTAAGCTCCATCGCGAATTTCTGCTCTTTCAGGCTCGATTTTCAGTCCGGAGAGTGAACCTTTCCGGGCCACAAGAAATCCATTCTTCAAAAATGCGTAGAAGTAGTCAGATAATGTGTAATTCCTCTGAGTGAGCGAGCAGAAGGCTCAGGGACTTGGAGAATCTGCAAAAAAATCCATGATAAAAAAAAGCCAGGAATCACTGAGAGCATTCATTCTAACATGCCTTTGTCTCGTTGATTTTCTTTCCTAGCAGCTTCTCATCATTTCTCTCGCATTCATGAGCTTCCAGAAATGCCCCCCAACATGGACCCACCTAAGAGATAAATTCGTTCGAGTGACTACGTGCTCATAACTCAGTCGCCTCAAATACAAATACAACCGATCACTTTTGAGTCCATGCCCCACCGTTCGTCTTTTTTTTGTTGACGATGGGAGGTGCCCATGTTGAGACGGGCAATCTGGTCGTCGCATGCAATGTCAATCCAGTTTTAACCCTTTAACTGCTATAAACTTTAACTGCTATAAACGAGTTGACTCGAAGTGCGTCTCTTCTTGTGCTTCATACCAGAGATTTTTTCGGACAACCTGTACCAGTCAAGTTAAATGCTTACAATATAAGGTAATTGAGGGAAGAAAAATTTTTTTTGCAAGTAGAGCTCATCATGGTGCCCCGAAGCAAAATTCTCAGCAGAGTGATGTGAAAAATATAAATAAAAAGTAGCAGTGAAAGGGTTAAAATAGTGACAAGTTACTATATTTGGTGGATGAAGGCACAATTGAACACATTTTTTTCCCATTGTTTTATTCATCATTATATATGATCTCTCTGGTATTCTCATTGAGTCCATTCTCACACCCATCCGATGATGAGTATGATGATTCCTTTCCATTTCCTTCACTCGCTGTTGGCTTATTCATTTCCATTCCTCGGTTGTCATTTCATCTCTTCGGTTCCTTTTGGAAAGGGGAATGTAGCCGATGGGCCACTGCCCTGCAAGCTTTCATGGTTTGGTTGGCGTTTGTCGTTACGGGCAGAGTTCTTTCCGCTTCGGCAGAGCCCATTTTCTTGCATGCCCAGTGCCAGTCCTGCATATGCACCTGTAAGAGTGATGATAACGATGACGATGATGTCATGATGATGATGGTGATGATGATGACATGAAGAGAAGAGATAACTCTGTTGCATTGCATCTTGACTGCAAGTGACTCGAGCAAAAGTCGACAGCACCATGTTCCGCGAGTCCATAATGTGATGTAATGTCATGTTCCTTTCCTCTCCAGTCCTGCTTGGCTCATGGCTGGGGGAGACAGCCAGATTTCCGTTTATTCCCATCTCACAATTTCTCGTGCAGTTTTCGTTCCCATCTCCCCCTTTTCCCGAGTCCTGCGTCCGCTCACACTTTTTGCACTCAATCCCTTTAAAATTTAAGGCACCCAATGAGCACAAATCTCATTTTGGAGCACTCCTCAAGTTCTGGAGTTGGGTTATCTATCTGAATCGTTACGATTCAGATAGTTCACGTAAAGTGAAAATGCTTCGATTATCTCTCTCCTTTTTGAAAGAAATTATAGTCCTAATGATTGTGCTATTGGGTGTAATAATGCTGACCAGAATGTTGGAGATTATGATACCATACATTGCCAACATTACTGTTACTTGATAATAAAAATAGGAATTATAATAATAACTTCTCATCAATCGTTCCTGCTTCCAATTTGAGAGAGTAAAATGAAACTGAGTTCAGAGGCCTGTTTCACGAAACTCCTTTTTTTGTGCAGAGCTGTAGTAAGTATGACTTTAAGGGCTCTTTTATGTTGCGCGTAAAGTTTTACTTAGTCCAGCTCTGCGTTGAGAGCGGCTTTGTGAGAAACAACGACCCTGTTACCTTTCTGAAATTCCGATTCCCACGTTACCGGGACCTTTTTTTTCCGCCTTAAAATAATTAATGCCAAGTGCAAATTCCGAGGGCAACTACGTGTGGTTTTTCGCCCCCAAAAGTTGTGAATGGTTGGGCATGTTCCAATCCAGCAGGAAGTGTGGTGTTTTTCTCCTGTGCCTTTTTCCAGTGGCAGGCTGTTGCTTGTCATGAAAGAAGCAGTCTCATTCTCATTACCGCTGATCGAGAGACGCCGTTCCTCGATCTCGCATAAGCGGCAATCGGGCATGCGCCAACAGCGGCGAGACTTAGCGTGTAACGTGGAACTTCACTCTCGACTGAATATACGGAGTGTCCAGGAATGTCTGTTGCTTCTCCTGGAAGTGGAACAGAAAGCATCACGGCCCGGGTCATTGCATCAGCGTGTAGTATATTCGCACGGAAACTAAATGCCAATATTCCGTTATTTCAACGGAGGAGATATCTTAAATCTTAATTCTCCTCTTCAGCTTCTCACTCTCTCCGAACCCATCCGTAAACACGCTCAGAAAACGAAAGCTCAATAACCGATTAGCCTTTTGGTTCTTGGTTCTAGTTTGAATATGATTCTTTCATGCAACTATCTGGGCGATGATTCTTTTTTTTCCTCCAGGAGGGGGAGGGCAAGTATTCCTGAGAGCCCCGTATATCGGTATATCGGCTTAGTGCAAGTGGGCCATTCCATGCCAACTCAATCATGATGTGTGTTTGACAGTTTCTGATTTTATTGAATATTGGCTAGAAGTAACACATGATGGCTCCAAGCTTGATACAAATGCGTGAGTGGTATAAATAACATTTTAAAACATATGAATATTATAATTGCTACAGTTTTGATTTTCAAAGCAATAGAAAGAGTAAAATGAGGGCTAAAAAAAAATCCATGTTGAACGCATTTCTAGCTCAATTAGGAGCGAACTTATTGCATTTGTCATGCGATAGCATAAACAGCATAAGCATAAGCAACCCAAGTGGTGCACAGAGGTGCCAAAGCTCGCACGTGCATTATCTTCTCTCATTCTCTTTCAATTTCGATTAAATCCGATGTCCATGCTTGGAACCATCATGTCTCACTTTCTGCCAATTTAAAAAAAAATCAGAACCAGTCGAGCACGGAAGAAAGAAAAATGTCGTTGAGTAGACTAGGAATAGCCCAAATGACTATGAACTCTAGGTACGAACATTCGACAAGAGATAAAAATGGTTGCCGTCACGAGTCAGTTATATATTATCTAAGAGATTAAGAAAGAAAAAAAGGACCAGAATGGTGCCGCACAGTCCGAAATGTTCATTTTGTCCTGTTCATGTGCGTTGGGAAAAAAAATTATGCTCCTCCCCTCGTCTCACAGTGCATGGTATTCTTATGTTTTTTGCTCTGAAGACTGCTGTGCTCTTCTCCATCACCCTGTGCAAAGCAAAGCATGGGTTTATAAGCAACAGCCTGCTGCAATGCTGCTCTTTGTCCAGTTCTGGGATCCAGTCTTCTTGCTGTGAATGTATCCGTGTGTGCGTGTCCGTCTCCTTTTTCTCTTTGTCTTTCGTTCTTCTAGTATTACAACCAGAGCGAGGTGTACAAGAAAACTCTGCAAGATATGAACACATTCTTCACTGCCCTCTTTACCGTTGAATGTATTCTCAAGATAATTGCCTTTGGCCTCAGGGTAAGCAGCCATTGAAGGTCAGTAGGATGGTCAGCAGCTTCTCCTTCCCGCTGCAGTCCCCTACAGTCCTTCACTTCGTAGTGATAGAGGCTTGATGTAAACCATGTAGAGCTCTGTCTCCTCCCCCTCTTTCTCCATCGTGGAATACCCCGAGGTTTGCCCCCTTTGTACCTGCATGCTGGGAAGCTAGACGACATGGTCCTGCAGATATGGTCCTGCACGAATCATCGCATGGTCGTTTTCACACACACACACACTTTTTCCCATTTAGATTATTGGTTTTCCCTATCTTGAGTTCCTTTGAGTTTCTTTCACTAAGTCCTTTAGTTCCTTTCAGTTTCAAATAATCATCGTCCAGCTGCTTCCTCAGTTTCGGTTTCCTTTACTGAAGGAAGGAATATTCTCCGTTTCTCCTCTTCCCACGTAGTTTTACACGCAACCTGAACGATACGAGTTGGCCCTAAGCTACGCCAACTCCGTTTTCACCCTCCTCTTCCTCATCGAGTGCATTCTCAAGCTTACTGCTTTTGGATTCCGGGTAAATTTCTCTCTTTTTTACCTCTTCCTCGACTTCCTGTTCCTCATCCTCTGTCTCGTCTGTCGTCCACCCCCCTCCCCCTCCCCCACCTTATATTGGAGAGTTCACCTGTCTCTGCTTTCCTGAGTTCACTTACCCGTCCCCCTTGCTTCCCAGCGTTCAGTTCTTCCTCCCTCCGGCTTTCTTCTCTTACTATAGCTCTGTGCTTCTATGCCACGAGTTTCCATCTCCTCCTCCATCCTGCTCTTACCTGTGCTGTGATCTCTTCTCGTCGAGTGTTTTTTTCCTTTGTCTGTGAACCAGTGAGAGGGCAAATCTGACACCGATGCGGATGGGTATGAATTTACGCTCTGAAACTCTTCGATTAAAGTAAAGACATTTCCCTCTTGAATATATCCATTCGAGATCTTCAAGGCTAGTAAATCGGACATAGCTTTGACCAAGTTGAGATTTCGGAAATTTGTATGGAAATCTACTCGCTTTGGCAATTTCTTTGGATTTTTCAGTCTCAAAATATTTTTATCGCGCACTTGCCAGGCACCCGAGGGTTCACCCTTCCCAGTAAATATACAATGTTCACGAAAGTTTTAAACTCAGCCTCATTCTTCAGGCAATGATTTCTTGCTCACTGTCACATAGGAAGAAAAAAAATTTAGAAGTCGCGAATAATGCGGTGAAGATATATGATTCTTGGTAGAAGTAGTTTGGTATCCTTTGTAGTCAAAGACTAGATTACCCTGCCCAGTAGAGAGCTCTTTAGTAAATTAGTACTCCTATGGCTTCCTCCCCACGAAATGCAAATGATCCCAACAGATTTACCTATGGAAATGTACCTAGAGCAGCATTTTGCAAATGCATGAGTCACATGAGTTCGTATACCTCAATCAACGTGCATAGTTTCATGTATTCACTCCGAGGTCTTTCTCATTATTCCCAAACGGTAAATTTCCTTCATCTATATAGTGTTGTGGAACTGAAAGTCTCAGCTGGAATGACTCCACTCCAATTCAAGCAAGGGTTTCTCTGCAATCATTTGAATTCCAATTCACTTCCCCATTGAATAACAACTTTTCAATTCCATCTGCGCAAAATTCCATTTTCTCCAACAAAAAAACATTTCTCTCACCTCTTTGCGTTGATCGGGTAACTTACGGGAGGCACAGGGATGTACATCAGAAGGTGTGCGAATTTGCAATTCAAGCGACCAAGTCGTAACGCTCGCTTTGGCCAAGTGAAAGTGAATGTCGCAAGCCACTTCACGGTCTTAAGCCAGGCTCGGACTGCCTGATGGGATTGTAATTAAGCGATGTCGTTTTCCCCTTGGTCCGTTGGATGGCGAACGCATTTAGGGTGCGTCTCTCAAAAAGAGTTTCAAATCTGCTTCATTCATGCTCTCCACTGTCAAACTAATTACCCATATGATGTTGTAAACATGGAACGAGTCCCTCTCCGCGAGATGGCGAGAAACATGTTACTCAGCACTGGTGGATCTCCTGCCATAAATGTACCCTTTTTTCGGCTTCAGATTGACCTTGCGCCTCTTCCATATCATATTCAGCTGGAGCAACTCAGTAACTTCGTCAGATAACGCATGAGCAGTAGTCCTTCCAGGACAGGGCCTACATGCAGTGGCGCATTTCATGGGGGGGGGGGGGGGGGGGGGGGGGCCCCCCCCCCCCCCCCCCCCCCCCCCCAGGTGGGGGGGGGGGGGGGGGGGGGGGGGGAGAGGGGCAGCCCCCATGCCCCACCTCCCACCCCCAGCAGACCCATTACTGTGCTTAGCGCCCTCTAAAACATTTTTCCACCCTCAGAACCCTTGTACGGATATTCTCACATGCCCCTTCGAGTTCTTCCTATTAATGACGCCCGATGAAGTTATGATATTCACACAGATAAAGATTTAATGAGAAATATCTTAAACATCATAGTCGCCTTGATCCAACTTTTTCAGTTCTGCCGGTTCTCTTTCTTTCTCCAGCACTCCTAGCGTTATTTTAGCATATTGAGCTGGTATTATATTTTTATTCATCAATTCCTTCTCGAAGGAGTATGGAATTCTTAGGGAACACTTCAAATTCGGAAATTTAGTTCCACCACACTGCCTGTGTTTTAGGGACGCGTTTTCTTTTCTTTTTGAGGTCGGAAATCCTAGACGCATCCTTGGTTGAGGTTGAACTTGAAAAAGTTAGGCGCCGGCTACCACCCCTACAATGATTATGCAATGGTCATCTTGGAATTGGAAGTCATAATGTTCGTGTCATTTAGAGGAGTTCGCCGGGTGTTTGCTCTGAATTTGCTTTACGTTGATGAACATAGATAAGTCTGAGAATACTAATCAGATGAGCATCGAGTTAATCAATACTAGTTGGCATCGGGAGCCTTTGCATATCTGATTATCATCAGATAATGCGAGTGCAAACACACCATGCGCACTCTAGTACCCAATATCCATTAGTACACGACCATCTGACACGTAGCATCCATCAGGTATGAGATAAAATTAGGTAACATTCATCTACTTTCCATTGCCCGGTTAGGGCTTGACTGTGACTCAAATTGATGAGCATCCTATTCCTCTCTGACAATCTCTGCATACCGGGTTCGATTCCCAGCGAGTTTCGAGAGAATTGTGCAGCCCATCTCGCGTTCACGTGCCCCTTTCAGGTCTCGCTTCTTTTTTCCCTCTATATTTATACAGTATATAAGATACAAGATGTGACGAAAAAGTCCCCAGCCTTTTCAACTATCGGTAGACGTCTATGCATATAGTGAAAGTAAGCTTATTTTCCTTATTGGCAAAAACTCGGGGGTCTTTTTGCCATACCTCTTACATCAGCCGTTAGACACGAACAGTAATAGATGACCTTTGTATTGTGCGCCTCTCTTAAGTAAAAATTCAGAAGAGCATTGCAGAACTAACTCACCTTGCTCACATTACAGAACGACTCCCATGGGCTGTAGTCGGTGCGTACCTCCTCACAAATTGCGCGAAGTTTCAACATTTCTCTTGTAAACCCGGTTATATTCTCGGAAATTGCCGTTTGGGAATTGTGAGAAAGCCTGGTGACTGCCCTTTCACTGGTCTGTCGTGTCTTGTCCAAATAGAATTGTAATCAGTGGTTGCCGTCTAACCAAGCATGTGTCGATTACAGAATTTCTTCCAAGACACTTGGAATACATTCGACTTGATCACCGTTTTGGGGAGCATCGTAGACGTGATTGCTGTCGAGATCGGAGTAAGCATGGTTAAGTTTCTTTTTTTATACTCATACGAATCTTGAATGTTCACTTCTTCAACTGTGGAATGCGTCTCTTCTCTTGCAGTCTAATAGCATGAACGTGTCGTTCCTGAGGCTGTTCCGTGCCGCTCGTCTCATCAAGCTCCTCCGTCAAGGTTACACCATCCGCATTCTTCTTTGGACCTTCATTCAGTCTTTCAAGGTAAGAACCCCTCATTCGGTTCTCTGCTTCCCAACCCCTGAGACTGAAGAGGGAACCCCGCTCTTTTCGTCGGATTTAGGCCCTGCCATACGTGTGTCTCCTGATCGCCATGCTGTTCTTCATCTATGCCATCATCGGGATGCAGGTAAGAACGCCTCCCGAGGATAGCCCCGTCCTCAGCACCAAGTCGGATGGCCACTGGGGAGCGTCCAGAAGCTGCTCTCGCCCGATAGCCTCCATTTTAATTTTGGAAATTAATTAAAATTAATTAGTTCTTCATGCCTAGCAAGTACACAGGATTGAGTTTATCATTTATTGTTAAGATCAACACCAGGTCTCCTGGCGAAGTGAAAATTCCATGTATGGGAGCAATCAGCTCGTCTCTAGAGCATTTATTCAAATCGTCAGTGCACAACATTCGCAATCTTTTCTCCTCGTACAGAAAAATCACTTGAATCTAGTGAGAAACCAGTATGAGAAGCACTGACTACTAGAGTAGTCAAATTAAACGCCAATTCAGTAAAAATGCGAGAAGGAACAGGTAAGGGATTGATGCAGTGCAGCTTAACGTAGGGCTCTCGCCATATCAGCTCAATGGAAATCAACATCAGAGCTTCGCGTTGAAATTCGAAGCGTAAAGAACTGATTGCAGACAGCCTGGTCTACATGTTGGCGAGTCTCAGTGGCCATGCAATAGCTCCATCGGAAACCGATCTGGATGTGTTTCAGACATCTTATTTCTCCCTTCGATGACCATAGGTATTTGGGAACATGAAATTTGATCCAGATACACAGATCAACCGAAATAACAACTTTCAGAACTTCTTTGCTGCGCTCTTACTTTTATTTCGGTGAGTGAAGAATGTAGGCAAGCCCATCTGCGAACTGAATGTTTTAGTGGTTCGGACGTAGACTCATTTGTATATGTTCTCCTGTAGATGTTTTTCCAGCGTAGTTACTGCTATGTCCTCAGAGAGGGGGGTATCTCGCCTTTTTTGTTCGTAGGTGTTTGGAAATATTGCCTTGGACCCCGAAACCTCCATTACGAGACATGTTAATTTCAGAACCTTCTTCCAAGGTCTCATGCTTCTCTTCAGGCAAGTATCTTCAAAATTCGCGGCACCTTTTTTTCGTTGCCCATGCTCTCTATTTTTTCTGATTACCCCATTCCCGAATCGAAGCGTTCTTTTTCACCCACTCCTTTCGTTTCGGAACTGACACTCCACCAACAGCTGGTGAAAATTTTCATTGCCCCTCGTTTTGAGGCCTGACAACTTGGGAGTTCCACGTAAATATTTTCCCCCCATTCTCCGTTCTTCTTCTGCTTTCCATCTCTGCATGTTGGTCGATGTGTGGCTTTCGTTTGGACTTAGCTGAAACCCCCCTCCCCTTGACGCATGCCGTAGACTTTCACTATGTGCATGCCTTTTCTGAGTGGCTCGAGGAAATGCCTCATGCATCAATGTCTTTTGCAAAAGTGTACCCGCTAACAGACAACAATTACGCGTTGATTTTGCCACGTGCAATTCATCGTAAGTGTTGTGAGTGCTGCCAATCGGCCCCAATCCAATTCTGACCTCTCGACGCGTTTGAGAACATTACTTGCAGCTCTGTCTCTTGGACTGCTGCGATTGCGTCGCTAATATGGGTTCTCACTTTTTCAAATGTTTGCACATTATGCACTTTGGCTTTCAAACCTCAAATAAATTAAAATAAGTTACTGCTTTTTAATGCAAGTAAATGTACCCAGTATGCATTAATGGGTGTTTAGAGCGTACGTATTAACGGGTACAGATTTGCCTGGGACAGCCTATAATAAGAATTGATCCCGTGTGCATATGCGCGTGTATGTGTATGCACGTCTTATTCAGTGTTGCAGTTGAAGAATACGATACGGCATCCTTTTGTGTATCATTGTTTTAGGGTTGAATCTGTATAAATGTCGTAGTTACGTAGAGTTTATGACTAGAAATGTTTTAGTCAGTTGCGTCTGAAGTTTCTACCTAGATGGTCGTTGTACATAGATCAAGATAAACCCTAAGATTTACCAGTGTAAATCTTGGTGTTTACATAATTTACCAGTTTACCAATATATTTATTGTTCTGGGAGAAGTCCTCCAGCTAAGAAGAGTCATTTAGTTTCAGTGCTCAGTACCCATACCAAGATGCCAAATGACATAGCGAAGAGTTTCGAGCCCTGTTCAGACGATCAAGTTTCACGAAGCACGTGGTGCCAAGCGTGGTGCATGGCGCAGGGGTGTTCGAAAGACGCAAATATATCATTGTCATAGAGGTTTAAGCGGAAATGGAAATGATGATCAGGGCAAAAGCAGTCCTGTGAAGGACCTTCTTTCATAGATGAGGGTCCTTTGAGACCTGCAGATCATTTCATGACCTCGAGAAGCAGTACAATCACGTCCTGAAATTCGATCGCAAATGTATTTCTCGTTCAGATTTCCCCCCCAAATGATTAGAGATCTCCCAGGTCAGTGGTTCTCAACCGGTGGAACGCGATCCACAGGATCCCCATGTTCTAACAAGTGGATCGCCAGAGGATCGAAGAAACAATTTTTAAATAATAAAAAACGAAGAAAGACAAATGGAGTTAAATCAGAGGTGCCCAACCGAAGTCTCATGTAAAAAGAAAATAATAATAGTAGTATAAATAATATAAAATAAACTTGAGATGAGAGTACGTTCCTCGAAAAAGGAAACACTCAGAATCTACATTGCTAGCGAACATAGGAATGCAAAAGGAGACAACTTAGTAGCAGACCATCCCAGGAAACGGCAAGCAAAACAAGAATGACTCGGAAATTGCAATGCGAGCATTTATCAAGGCAAATATCAACGTCAGAACTAAACACGCCCTTATGCTAACCGATGGAAACTCAACGTGAAGGAATTTCAATGCCTAACCCAACTTAACCTGCACGGGCTGGCGTTCTTATGCTTGTTCCCGCTCTTGTTTCTTTTCGAGTCGAATGATTTGATTGTTTATGACCATTCTTGAACTTGTGGGTCGCATACATATGGAGATTGTCGTCGGGAGATGATATAAGAAGATGATATACCAATGCCCCAGATTTCGTTTCTTCAAGACTTAAAATTTTATTACTTCACTACATTATTCTCTTCTTTTTTTTGTTTTACAGAATATTATTGCTGGATTTTGGGAAATGGAGTAAATGATGAGGTACCTATAGTCTAGGACATAAGGGAGCGAGGACGATATGTATAATTACCGGTTCTGCCACTTCGTGCCCTTGGTTAACAACTCCGTGCCCCCGGCATGGATTGACTCATCATCGCCTTTCTCAAAAACGGATCGGCCAGCTACGAAGGCTGGAAAGGAACTGGCAGCTCTGGCAGTTGCATCCGGTCTGGTCTGCTTATATCATGCTGGCTTTCCCATAGTGCGCAAATTCAATTCCTAATTATATTTTAAAGTCTGTTTTAGACACGTATCTCGCCAAAGCAAACTCACCCTGCATCTTACCACAAGTTGTCACGACTAATAAGATTATTTTAGTTATCGTCGCAGACAAAACGGTCCAAAGATGGCCTCTGACCTTTCCGGAAAAGACACGCGCAAAAATGTCACCGTTCGAACACCGCTATTGAGTCCGCAGGAGCTGGAATCCTGGATTGGTCTGATACGTTCTGAATAAAGAAAGAAATTGTTGCGACGTGTTGCGAGGCACCGAGCCGCATGTAATAATGCGTATTTGATGCATCATACAATGTCTATCCCACTGTGTTTGCCAGACAATCTCATGAAAGCCGACCATTGCGCCTCTCCATATCATATCTGGCACGGAAGAGACAGGCAGGCAAGAGAAGGTAGAAGAGAGGAGGTAGGCGAGAGAAGACTTCTAAGTTAGGAACAGGTGCCAAACATCGGAAGTCTGCAAGAAACGTGAAGTTTCAATAGCCTTTCCATTCCAAGTCGTTTCACCTCCCATAATTCAGTATAATTGGATACAAAAGCAACGAATACAGTTTTTAGGGTTACGATCACAGTGTTTCAAACGGAGTTGTCACCCTATAAATGATGACGGGGCAGCTTCTGACTGGTTACGTTCTTTAAACTCTTTTCGCAGAGTAGAACTCTTCCGATAAATCCAACCGTTTGGGTCAATACGGTATGTCATTTTAAAATGTTTTTTCATGCATGTATGATCATAATTGTTTCATGATCACTCAGACGTGCTTGATCGTGTAAACAGGGCTTGAGTTTTAGTTGCAGAATACCTCCATTCAGAATCCTTGTCACAACCTTGCCAATTTTGTCGACCTCAAGCCATTGGAGGCCAACCATGTACCCCAACTGCCGAAAATTCAAGCTTCACAGACGAAGCATGTGAGAAAAGCTGGCTTCGATGCTAGTCCTCCCGTCCGCAGTGCAGGCCCGGAGAGGCCGGTAGCACCTGCACGGCGGTTGAACCCGCTGGACCTTCAAACAGTCCGATGGCGTCGCAGGCTGCGCATTTGCGTCGAACCTTGAGAACGCAACATTTTGCGTAGTAGTCTAGTAGTCCTTGATCTGCTGGCAGTCCAGAAATCTTTTTGCCCAAATAACGAACCAACAAGTCGTACCTCTCGGTTTCGGGGAATGCTTTTTCTGAGGATGAAAAACCAATGAAGAACCGATTCCCGGTAGCTGATCTTTCTGAATGGTCTTTTAGCTCTAGAGTCGGGCCCTTGCAAAACCAAATGCAAGGATGGCAAGTGTTTTGAGAGGAGGTAGGAATAGACCTTCGACTGCATCAAAGTGCTGTACCTTCAAGAGAAAATTCTGTCGTTTCCATTAGGATCAGAAATGGAATCTGTCGTCATGTGTACACTGCTTCTATCAATATATATATATATATATATATATATATATATATATTTTTTTTTACAAGTTTCTTGAACGCATTTTGGGTATACCATAGATGTGCAACCGGTGAAAACTGGCAAGCCATCATGCTATCTTGTATCGCTGGAAGAGAATGCGACGAACTCGCCTTGAAAACAAGCAAGGAAAACAAAACATGTGGCAATAACGTCGCTTACATGTACTTCGTTTCCTTCATCTTCTTCTGCTCTTTTCTGGTCAGTGCCTTTCGCCTCGTCTTCAGGAGATTTCGCTTTTCGTGGTTTTGAAAAGGCAGTCCGAATGTATCGCCCAGATGCTGAATTTGTTCGTGGCTGTCATCATGGACAACTTCGACTACCTAACCCGTGACACGTCCATCCTCGGAGCCCACCACTTGGACGAGTTCATCCGGATCTGGGCAGAATACGACCCCAACGCCACGTGAGTCCCACTCGCTTTCATCAGACCAGAGCGAGATGAAAAGAGAAACCGGAGATGCTATCCTCATGTATTGCAATTCTCATTTCGAAACAGAGGGAAGATCCATTACACGGAGATGTACGACATGCTGCGGAACATGGATCCACCTCTGGGGTTCGGGAACAAGTGCCCATCTCGGTTAGCCTACAAGAAGCTCATCCGGATGAACATGCCGCTGGACGAGGAAGGCAAAGTGCAGTTCAGTACGACCTTGTTCGCGCTGATCCGAGAGAACCTTCAGATCAAGCAACGCGCTGCCGAGGAGATGGATCAGGCGGATCTGGAACTCAAGGAGGTCATCCAGAAGCTCTGGCCCCTGCAGGCCAAGAAGAACATGGACCTCCTCATCCCGCCGAAGAAAGGCACGCGTTTTCGATTATTTCTCTTTTCTCCCTCTTCGCCTTCTGAGATGTGAAGTCTTACCAAAAACGCACGACTGCTGTCCTTGCAGAACTCGGTACGAATCACTTAACCGTGGGCAAGATCTATGCAGGTTTGCTCGTTCTTGAGAACTGGCGAACCACCAAGTTTGGGAAGATACAACCTGCTGGACTACCGGTGAGTTCACCTCTCTATGAAAAAAAAAAGAATTCCTATCAAGAGAGCCCACAGGTGAAAACCAGGGGTCATCGTGAGCTCCCAGGTCTCGTCGGGTTTTTATGTCCATGTCATTAGAAGGGCAGGTGCACTTACCTTTCTTTCCGACTGCATTCGTGTAGACATATGAGGATCAAAGATGTGTAGTCGCTAGCCATCAGATTCATAGCGATATTATGGCTATAAAATACATGTTAGAGTTATACTGGTGTCCATAGCCAAATATTCGAGAATTGTATATTTGATAGTCCTGTTGCATGCTTTATCTTCTGATATATGTTGTAGTAGATGTGGGTGTTTCAATGATGTAGTAAGTGTTGTCAGCTAGTATTTGTTAAGTACGACTCCCTTGGTTTTGCCAATGGTGTGTCCATTTGTCTGTTGCAGGAAATCCACTATCAGTCAACTTCAGAGGAAGCGGTAGTCTTTTTTTAAATATTGCCTAGCCCTTTTTTCTTCGCGCTTCCAATTTAGCTGGCATCTATGGAAACCCCTGTTCAGCGGTTTTATTTCCCTCATTATGATTGTGCGTGCATGAAGCAACTTTTTTTCCGCACCCATTGACGATGCATGTATTGATAATCCTGGTTGTGGGACTGAACTTGATGGGGGTGTAGCCAAGCACAACGAAATTTTCTTTTGCACCCCGTCAGAGAGGATCTCTTTTCGCCCGAATCATGGGCTTGGCGAAAAGCAACAGCCAGCGTGGTACAGGGGACGGGACAGCCGTAGCCAAGCAGGGTACAGACCCCAATCACCTCCAAGCTGACAGGCAAGTACTCGGGACGCCTTACCCGTCCCCCCTCTAACACATTCCTAATAGATGATCTGAAGTGTTTAAGAGAGAGTGCGAAAAGAAACAGAGGTACAAGGAAGGAAGATCATGCTCTTCATTTTGTTGTCGCCGCTTCCACAGTGGAGAAGGGAAGAACGGGAAGGAGCCACCTCGACGTTCTTATAGCATCTTTTTGCGCAGACGGTCTAGCGCAGGACCTGTGCATCAAGAACACCCCACCAAGGTTCATACTGCTGCACTTCATATATATATTTATATATATATCTCATTTATGTCTATGTTGTGAGGGATAGTCTCTGGTGTCTCTCCCTAGATGTCAATGTCATCTCTCCTGTGCCTTCCAAGTGTAGATCACGACACTTGAAGAGATTTAGACACGTGTCGTTAGTTTAGATGACCAGGAAACGTAGACTGTGACCTGAGTCTACCGTAGACCACATTAGGGGTGCTAGTGAGAGAGAAGTGAGAAATGAGAGCGAGAAGGAAGGATTAGGGGATGAGGAGAGATATCCGCGTGTTCCGTCCGGCGTTTAGCACGGTGTTGTGCAGTCCTTGTCTGCTTCCTGCTGCCTTCTCCCGGTGTTTACTGTTAGTTCCCGATCTCCTTCATGTCTGACTTTTTCAGGACTTTCCGTCTTATCCAAGAATCCTGAGGATCTCTCCCTACGACTCGAGTCTTCCATACTTTCCACTTCCTCCGTTATTTTTTTCCTCGTCATCGCTTGTTGCATGGGGGACGCTGGCCCCTTATAAACTCGCATATTTCCTACATTCATGCACGCACCTACTTTGTTGCATGAGAGCATGCCAGAAAGTTTAATCATTTGAATTGTTCCATTTCGAAGCGAACTCATACGAATAGAAGATTTTAAAGTAAGCTATGGATGCATGCAAGGTAGCCTAAAGCACAGTATATCCCAACATCTTTCTATGATTATGATCTTGGTTAACGTAACGATGGTTGAAAAGGTGATGGTGAAGGCGCAAACAAATTCCTTTAATTACCGACAGTGGATCATTTATAACTATCATTAAAAGTAATGATGAATATACTCATGATGGCGTAGATACAGTTACCTCATTTGACAGTGTGAAGACCGCTGCTGCACCCTGGTTAATGAGTGATTTTAAGGATGAAGCAGGGACAGTGCGAGCAGTGGCTTCAACCATGCACGACTGACGAAGAAGGACTGAATATAATATATAATATCCTTTGCAAAGCCTCATTACTTTAATCGCGGGTATAATCATCGAAAGATGATTGCGTCGACAAGGCATTTACGAACCAAATTACCGTCCTGCCCGAACGGGCCCTTCCTTTGATGCCGATGTTTCATCCCGTGTTGGTGTTTGCAGCCAATGATGCAGTTGCTGAGCGGAGGTGCTGCAAATTCTGGATTAGGTCTGCCAGGTCGAACTGGGAGTCCGAATCCCTTGCCTTCTCCTTCGCCGTCTCCTCTCTTCAGGTGTGCAACGATCATATTCTATGCTGATGAGCCACATCATTCTCGGATTATTCTTTTGCCAACATATGTTGGCATGTTCTTCCTCGATGGGAATACTAGGAGTGTTATTGTACCTGATTCTGTGCACAAAGACGAATGTAACGCAGAGAAAAAAAAGTATTTTACCACACCCGGATGTTTTGCCTCTGGTCGATCAGAGCCTTTAGTCATTTACTTTTCTGGTGATGATTTTATACATAGGCATGGATCGTCCCCAAGAGCAACTCCCATTCCTGGGCAAGGGCCGCTGTCCCCGAAGAGGGATAGGGACATCGGCTTCAGTGATACCGTCAACGACGTCGTTGACATGGTCAAGTCGGAGCAACCCTTCCGCAGACGACCCCCCAGAGGTAAGTGTCCTTTTAGATGGAAATAAAAATAAACTAGGCTTGTCCTTTAAGTGAGACAGGAAACTCCGCATCGCTCCAACCAGTCTTATCGCGAACTAAAGTTGATGGCTGATGCAAGCACTTATAGTAATTACGCGTGAGAAGTTTTATTCACATGGACCTGTTCTTGTGTGACTTAGAATCATACTCTTCGACAATTGTGGGTGACATCCGTTGCAATGGAAGTTTTACTGGAAATGAGGCAACGGTACTCTGTCAGGCCTTAAATATCAGCATCAGGCACATTTGCTGGATGTTGCTATGGGAGTGATTGTCGTGAACCCGAATCCGAAAAGCAGAGTTCCGCTTGGAAATTCCTTCATTTCCACCCACTAAAGTAATCTCGTGTCGCGAAATTTGCGAGCAAAGCGATGGATCTGTTGTTCTACCCGATTGAGACATTTTGACGGCACTTTTCTTGTATCTGAGAACTGCGATTAGAGGTGTGGTATATGCAAACATTACTAGCAAATAACTGCGCTCTAGCACTGAGAGACAAACGGCCCGAACTTTTGCAAGAGACGTGATTCCTACATCACGATGATTTTCACCACGCATGGCTATTGTAGCGCATGGACCTTATAACTGCAATTGGGGCTGAAACCAAGCCGCATCTTGCTTATTCCCTTGACCCTGCCCCTCTTGCCTTTTTGTTCTTACCCGGAAACAAGCTGAGAAGACACTGATTCAGCGCGACATGGAGCTCAAAGCAGCCGCGATGAAATAGCTTAGACGTGCATCGGAAATGGACTGCAGGACGTATATAAATGGCTAAGAAATATGCATTGCGATAACATCTAAAGTTGCTATATATTCAGTCTTCGTTATTAAAAGGGTAACCCTGGTATCGTGTATCTAGTGAGGTCATCATGGATATGAAATATCTCGCACAGGGCTGCCAGGGAATATCGAAGGGTGGTCACCCTCTTCAATCCGAGGAAGACCTCGGAGGACAGAGGCCTTTCCATTGAATACAAGAGAACGGAGAGAACGGCGCGACTCCTCGTCTCTTCGCTCCCCTTCCAGTAGTCCCGAGAGTCGATTTATTTCTCAAGAAACGAGAAGGAACGCGAGAAGTCCGAGCCCGAGCAGTCATTTAGGGATCACGTCTCAAGTTGGGCAACGATCCCGATCTCCTTCACCCCCGCGGACCAAGATGAGTAGAATTCTCCCTAGGCCACAAGTGACCAGGTCTCATCCTTCAATGGGTGTAGCCCAAACCCGACGCCTTCTTCCTCCTACCCCTCCTAAGCCATCCTCACTCAAGATACAACAACCGCAGTTTAATTTCCCCCAACTTTCTCCATCTCCCACTGCCGCTGCCGTCGTCGCTGCTGCTGCTGTCTCGGCTTCCTTGGGCCCTGTGAACTTCCCAAAAGTGAACATTTCCCCGACTCATCCAAACTCAGGGGAACTGCGAAGAGGACGTACCCTTCCGTCGCCCCTTCCAAATGGATACAAGCCTGGTCAAACAAGGCGAGGCCAACCGCAGACACCATCACAGCAGCAGCAGCAACAGCAACAACATCAACATCAACATCAACATCATCATCATCAACATCAGCACCAGCAGCAGCAGCAGCAACCACTTGCATCACCCGAATCTGAGGATGACTCGGAGTGGTGCTAGCGATGGTTGAAAGGCATTTCACGCTTAGAAGAACATTTGCAAACAATAAGTCTCTTTCTGTTGGTTCCATCTGTGATGTCGGTGCCAGACAACACTACACATGAAACTCAGTCACCATCACCGCTCTCAAGTCTCCATGTGACATTCTTCCTCTTCTCCTTTCTTCCTTCCTTCCTCCCGTTTTCCATTATTCTTGTCATCACCATCATATCCCTCCAAGTGCTTTACTGATGCAGAAACAAGCAGACGGACGAAAATTAGACTCTCATGTTTTAACTGTGATATTACAGGAGGATTAACATCATTCCCAGGTTACATTAACGACCACTTGGCACAGTGGAGTTTGTTGTTGTATCTCACTCTTTCACTTTTCTTCACATCGTTTCCCATTTGACCTTTTCACTACTTCTCGAATGTTCTTCCCGACTTCTCTTCTCCTTCGCTCCTTTGTCCGCCTCTCTTGGACCAGTGAATGCAAAGTCACAATGTGACATGTTTTCCCAATTTTGCCAGTTTTACAAGGATTCTGTTTAATAATAAAAATTATTAACATTTCTTTGGATTTTCTTACATTCTTTCATGATGCCAGCCTGTCACAACCACATGCACACCTCTCTCTTTGCATCTCACGCTCTCCGTCGATGTTGGCATTTATTCTGTCAACATCGTGCACGTGCTGGCTGCTTGCGCCAAGTGCGTGAAATCTGTAAAATGAGAATTGGATGACTTCCAGAGAGCGTCTTGCCTTCCAACTTCAA